ATGTGGGCTTTGTTGCTTCTGAGCTTGATGGCCGCTTGATTGCCTTCAAGCCTTTAAGACCCCAGACGCTATACTTTTTGACAGCCAGGCACCATCAGCTTTCTTCGCCACATTTGCTTATGCACCCGTTTGTCTTCATCACCTTTTTCTTTAATTATCTGAAAATACATCTGAACACTAGCTTCTCTCTCTTCAACTGTCAATCAATGTTCAAAACAAACTCAGGTCTTGTATTCATGTAGAATATGGTAGTTAAAGGCATTTGGGCATAGTTATAAGGTTAATCACTTGAGTGTGAATAGTTTCCACCACTTACAGATGTAACCTTAGGCAGGTTAACCTAAGCCTGTTTTCTCACTTATAAAATGCAATTATTAATGTGTACATGCTCCTTGAAAAGATTTAGTATAATGCACATACAGGTAGTAGCAGAATTCCTGATACACAGCTACAGTCAACTAAATGTTGGCCATTAGGTAAGCAAAAGAGCCTTAGTAATGTGAAACCACCAGCTGTTCCGTGGGAGAAAGACAGGACTTTCTACTCCTGTAAAGAGTTACAGCCTCAGAAACCCAGAGGGTTTCTGTCCTTTCATCCTCCAGGGTTGATGAATCTGCATCGACCTGATGGCACTGAGTTTGGTTCTACCTTTTGTTTACTGGTGTTTGCCAGTAAACAAGGTTGGCAGTTCAAACCCATCAGCTGCTCCATGAGAGAAAGATGGGGATATCTGCTCCCATAAAGACTTACAAAAGGGGAGGGGAGACTTACAAGGGTGTGGGGAGCATTAGAGCTGATTGTATTGTTGGATATACAACTCTTTTTAAAAGCGGTTTAACTGTGGAAATACATGATGTGAATATTATATCAAGAAAGTTACTGGGAAAAAACAACCAAACGACCTATGTTTACCAGGGGTAAAGAGGAAGAATTTTTGCTTAATGGGTATTGAATTCATTTTAATGGTGGTAGAACAATTTGGAAAGGGATAACAACAATAGTTGTACAATATGAATAGTATGATCAATGGCATTGAATTATACAAGTATAAGTTGTTGAACTGGTGAATGTTTTGTTATGTATTATTTTTGCTAAAATTGAAAAAAGAAAAAAAAACTACATGACTACCAGTAAATATGAGAAAAAATAAAATGTTCTAAAAGTGATTGTGGTAAAGATTGTACAACTCTTTTTGATATGATTGAGCTATTGAACTGTATATGTGGATGAAGTGTCAATAAAACTGTTTTAAAAAAAAGTTACAGGATTGCAGTTGCTATGGGTCAGAATCAGGTTGATGGTAGTGGGGTTGGTTTTTTCGTTCATTTCTTTTTACTATTATTCCAATACATATTATATAGCACTAACTTGATTTTAGACTGTATTTGATCAATTTTACCATGTATTTTCAGGCACTGATAAGTTCTCAATTTCTTCCTTTGAAATTTTGGTTTTGCTCCTACAGTACCAGCTGTGGCATAATTAGTTCTCTACTGAGAATGTGTATTAGAATCACCTGGAAATATTTTTCAAATGTCTCCAATGCTATTACAAATGGAAGTGCTTCTTTTTGGATTATTCATTTCTAACATACAGA